CCTTGCTCCATACCACGTAGCCAGCCTGCCCAGCAACAGAACTACTCAGGCAGCAACAGAGCCAGCTCAGCAACAGAGCCAGCTTGCCCAGCACTACTCAGGCTTCTTGGGCTCAGGTAGCCAGCTTGCCCTTCACTACTCAGGCTTCTTGGGAGCGGGCTTTTTGCATCAGAACTACTCAGGCTTCTTTGGAGCAGGCTTCTTGGGAGCGGGCTTTTTGGTGGGTGCGGGCTTTTTGGTGGGTGCCTTAAAGTCCAGCTCCAAATAGTCATCCGAATCAACATGAACTGCAACTGCGACTTCCCTGTGCTTCCTCTTCTTGCTGGTGTTCACGGAGGACTTCATCAATTCGGGCTGTTTCAACGTCTTGGGCTGTTTCTTGGGCTGTTTCAACACCACCCTGCGTCCTGGACCACTAGTGGTGCTCATGCCTGGACCACTAGTAGTGCTCATGCCTGCAACACTGATAACCCTACCAGAAGTGCGTCCCTTTCCTGGCTTGCTGGAAGTGCTAGATGAAGTGCTTTCGCCAGCATTCATGGTGGTCTTTGGCTTTGGCATTACTAAAGATGAATGTCAAAAGAAGAATAAAGAAGTTGATGTGTGAGTTCAGCACAACTAGCACATGACGCTGGCCCATGACGTCATGGCCATCACAGTGGGCGGGTGGAACCACTTACTGCAGTTTTGGTTTTGGCTGCTGATGATTTGGCTGCTGATGATAATGAGATCGCTTATGGATTTTGATGCCCTGGATTTTGATGCCCTGGATTTTGATGCACTCGGGTTCCAAGGTAAGCAACGCAAGCAACGTTAAGCAACGGACAACAAGATAAGCAAGATAAGCAACGTTCCAAGATAAGCAACAAGCAACGGACAACAAGATAAGCAAGATAAGCAACGTTCCAAGATAAGCAACAAGCAACGGACAACGGGTAAGCTAAGCCACCACAATCATTGGCCACCACAATCATTGGTCACATATGATAGACCAATGATTTTCTTGGGATTTCTGTTGTAATGATACACATAAAGCTAGCTATTAATAGGGCTTCCAGAGGCTTCAGCGACCAAATCAAATCGAATGGAATGATGAATCGAATCAAATCAAATCAAATCGAATGGATGTAGTAGGCGACTGTAGCTCAGCTGGCTACTGGCTATCAGCTGGCCACTGGCTATTAGCTAACATAGCTCGGCTGGCTATCCAGATCCTTCTTACTAAGATCCAAATAATAAGGGGGTTTAGAGTAGGGAAATTATCTGAATTGGTGGCACATACCAGTAGGTAAGCCGAGGCAGAGGAGAGGAGACGAAAGTTCTAACACATCTATTGAAAAATACAGCACATCTATTGAAAAAATACAGCACATACTAGTACTGGCAATGCTAGCATTGACAGTGCAATTGATATTGGAAGAGCTCACTCACAAATCACTCACAAATCCGAAGAGCAAATCAGATCAGAAATCATGAAGGAAGGAGTGATCTATTTTGGTTTGCCTCCTTTTTTGCTGTTGTTCATCATTGGGAGTGCTATTATGAGTACTATTATGAAGATGATGAAGCCTACCACCACAATGAAGCCTACCACGGCTGCAAAGAAGAAGCAAGCCAAAGCAGTCACCATAGAGGCGACGGAGGAAGAAGAAGCGACGGAAGAGTCGGAAGCCCAGGAGGACAACGAAGAGTCAGAAGCCCAGAATGAAGCCCAGGAGGACAACGAAGAGTCAGAAGCAGCAGAAGAGTCAGAAGCAGCAGAAGAGTCAGAAGCAGAAGCGTCGGAAGTCCAGGAGGACAACCATGACAATCGAGTCTTCAGTCCAGTTTTCATGAACTGGTTTCATGAAGCTATGCATCCACGTGATGAAATGGGATTCTCATTTGGCTACGTCCGGCTTGCTTCTTGGAGAGTTTCCCCCAGTGTCTTTGTTTCTATTTGCTTCGGAACTATCACTAGCTTCAACTCTCCCACTGGAGCTCTTGTTCTCACCACCAAGAAAAATGGACGTGGTGGTGGCAGCATCAATGATGACATTAGTGATGCTAGAGGACCACAGCTGCTCCAAGATCGAAACAATCTACCTGAGGAAAAAGGAGTTCGTTGTGGCATGGCTGAGGCGAGGGTTCTTGGCCCTAATGATTATGATCTATTGATGACACCATACGTTCTCTTGACAGTCGCTCCTTCTTTCACTCGATGCACCGAGCCCCATCATATTCGCAAAGCCAGCAATCTACTTTACAAGACTTATGAGAATATCCTCAATGAGGCGAAGTCCCATCCCTTCATTAACCAAGTTGCCTTGCCCTTGCTGGCATCTGGATCCTCTCGTGGTGATCTGAAACTTCACAAGATGATGGAAGTAGCTGTGCTTGCCGTCTATTCCTGGGCTTTGGACAACAGTGGCTTGAAAGATATTGTCTTCTTTGTGGAAAGCAAGAAGAACGCTGTAAAGTTTGCGGGCTACATGGACGATACTATAGATGGCTGCATTAAAGCCAAGCTTACGTGATGACAGACAACCTTGAGCTAGCTGGCAGAAGTTACAAAAGGAACATGACAACAGGATGACAACAGAAGGTTGTGGAACATGACAACAGGATGACAACAGGAGGTTGTCGTATATAGGTGTGAGCAAACAACAGTGTGAACAGAGCAACCAACCGTGTGTAAGCAGTGAAGGTGTGAGCAGCCGGTATATAGGTGTAACCAGAACTCTCATAGAATCCAATCAAATTGGTGGCACCCTAGCCTGAGCATGGGAGCAGGGTCTTGGCTTTCTCGTCATGGACACAGCACTCTGAGTAGCTGAGTAGGTGCATCCCTAGCCTGAGCATGGGAGCAGGGTCTTGGCTTTCTCGTCATGAACACAGCACTCTCAGTAGCTGAGTAGCTTGCTAGAGCACTTGGCACCACTGCTACAAACGCGGCATGTTCATAATTGAGTAGGTGGCATCCCTAGCCTGAGCATGGGAGCAGGGTCTTGGCTTTCTCGTCATGAACACAGCACTCAGTAGCTGAGTAGCTTGCTAGAGCACTTGGCACCACTGCTACAAACGCGGCATGTTCATAATTGAGTAGGTGGCATCCCTAGCCTGAGCATGGGAGCAGGGTCTTGGCTTTCTCGTCATGAACACAGCACTCTCAGTAGCTGAGTAGCTTGCTAGAGCACTTGGCACCACTGCTACAAACGCGGCATGTTCATAATCCTCTGTTTCTTAATTGTTATTGGAGCTGCAAATATAGCTTCCTCTATGATTGGTGGGGCTTCCGGGGCAACGGTCGCCATTTGCTGTCGCCTTCATTTGCTGTCGCCATTTGCTGTCGCCTTCATTTGCTGTCGCCTTCATTTGCTGCCTTCATTTGCTGCGTCTTCTGCTCTTTCTTTTCTTGGCTGCTGGCTTGCGCTCTTCTTGCTCTTCCTCACTGGACTCACTGTCCTGGCTCTTTCTTTTCTGCTTGGCTCTCTTCTTCGCTGGTTGCTTGCGCTCTTCCTCACTGGACTCACTGTCCTGGCTCTTTCTTTTCTTCTTGGCTCTCTTCGCTGGTTGCTTGCGCTCTTCCTCACTGGACTCACTGTCCTGGCTCTTTCTTTCTTCTTGGCTCTCTTCGCTGGTTGCTTGCGCTCTTCCTCACTGGACTCACTGTCCTGTGCTACCTCACGCCTGGGAGGGGGGTTCTTCTGCTGTGCAGACTCAGAGCGGCGGGAGTTCAAGAAAGAATTGAAGTCAGCCACATATTCAATGTCATATTTCTCATCATCATTCATCAACCAACGCTTCATTCTGCGACTAGAGTGCTTAGATCCAGTCCAAAAAGTAAGCTTTCGGGGTCCCTGCAAATCATCACCATTGTGGCCATCTTCATTTGGTAGCTTGTCGCTCAAAGTAAAACATCCATGGATCACCGATGGCCAATTCTTTGCCTTCTGCTTCATCTGCTTGTGTGATTTCTTATTGGGATCAAAATCATCAGTTCTGGAAACAGGCAGGGACATGCGTTGGAGCATTGACATAGGCCTCTCCAGCTCACACAATTTGCGTCGGGTCTTTGCATCATCCATCTGCCGGATGGATAGAGGCCGAGAGCCAACTTTCCGCGCAGATCTCTTCACTGACTCCTCCTCTGACGATGAAGACATGTTGCGGTGGCCCTTCTTCTTGGAACTGGCACGCTTCTTCTTAGAACTGGCACTGGCACGGCGGCGGGGTTTGGATTTTTGGCGCGAGGAACTAGAATCAGAGTCACCAGAATGATTGGAATTTGCCTTCTTGCCATTTGCCTTCTTGCCCTTGCTCTTTCCTGTTTTCCCAGATTCTTGGATGAACTCTTTGTGCCACGCTTAGCTTTCTCTGGCATCTCCTTGGCCTCTAGCTCGGAAGCTTCATCATCACTGTCCTCGGTGTCAGCTGAATAGCTGCTTGTTTCCCCTTCTTCGGAAGTATCTTCCAGATCAACTTCTCCAGATCAACTTCTCGTCCTCGTCGTTTTCCTCAATGGCACGCCTGGCAGTAGTTTTGGGCTTTGGACGTACCAGACCTTGGATATTCCTGACATGGGCTTGGGCGTTGATATCTTCTCCAGAGTTGATGTCTTCACTTTGGTTGACGTTTGGAGTTGGATCTCCATTGTCCAGGTGTGCTTCATCAGCATAGTTTTTACCGTGCTGATCGTAGATCTCCTCCAACTGAGGTCCAAATCCCATTTTGACCAAATTGGCAACAGTCATTGCACGTTTCAAGGGCAAGAGTGGATCGCTCAAAAGATGAGATGGGAAATGGTTCTTGTCAAACACATGCTCCCTTCCAGTACGAACAAGCTTTTCCTTGATACGTACCGCACACTCTTCGTCTTGTTCCTCAGAATCATGGATGCTTCGATGGATACCCTTGGGCCTGGGTTTGGTCTTGGTATGGTTAGAACTAGTTGCAGCACTCACACTACAGGGGAGCCTTGTTGGGGTTGCCTCCGTTTCAGTTGCCTTGGCAGAACAGTTGAGCACTCACACTACCAGGAGGAGCCTTGTTGGGGTTGGCCTCCTTTCAGTTGCCTTGGCAGAACCGTTGCAGCACTCACACTACAGGAGGAGCCTTGTTGGGGTTGGCCTCCGTTTCAGTTGCCTGGCAGAACCGTTGCAGCACTCACACTCCAGGAGGAGCCTTGTTGGGGTTGGCCTCCGTTTCAGTTGCCTTGGCAGAACCGTTGCAGCACTCACACTACAGGAGGAGCCTTGTTGGGGTTGGCCTCCGTTTCAGTTGCCTTGGCAGAACCAGTTGCAGCACTCACACTACCAGGAGGAGCCTTGTTGGGGTTGGCCTCCGTTTCAGTTGCCTTGGCAGAACCAGTTGCAGCACTCACACTACCAGGAGGAGCCTTGTTGGGTTGGTTGCAGCACTCACACTACCAGGAGGAGCCTTGTTGGGGTTGGCCTCGTTTCAGTTGCCTTGGCAGAACCAGTTGCAGCACTCACACTACCAGGAGGAGCCTGTTGGGGTTGGCCTCCGTTTCATTGCCTTGGCAGAACCAGTTGCAGCACTCACACTACCAGGAGGAGCCTTGTTGGGGTTGGCCTCCGTTTCAGTTGCCTTGGCGGATGTTTCAGTTGCTTTGGCGGATGTTGCCTTGGTGGATGTTGCCTTGGTGGATGTCATCTGCTTGGCTGCCTCATTTTCGGTAGGCTCATTTTCGGTAGGCTCGGAAGGCTCATTTTCGGTAGGCTCGGAAGGTTGTTGGAAGTGGATTTTCCTGGGTGCTTTCCCACCCGTGGACTTTCTTGCCAGCCGCTTAAATTGTCCACTGGGCATCTTAGCAATGCGTTGTTCTGTAGACGCAGAAGCTTGAGTAGGGGTGACATTAGGGGTGACAGAGGCAACTTCAGACACAGAAGCTGGAGGAGCTGGAACAGGGGCGACTTCAGACACAGAAGCTGGAGGAGCTGGAGGAGCATCGTCATCAAGTAGATTGATGCTTGACACTGGTTCGATCACTGTACAATTTGTTGGTTTTTTCTCCAGCATATTGTACAGGTCGCGTGGGATTCTTGAATTGTTAGCTACATCCAGTTTATTCAACAAACCTTGCAAGGCAGCATCATCAACTTCTGACAGCTTGACACGGACCAACTGCCTCTGCTCTGCTTCTTGGAGTGTTCCTTGTAAGACAGGCTTGTCATCCTCTCCAAGAATGGTGACAAAAGTTGCACCAATGAGGTTTTGGGGCGGGTGACGTGTTTTCTTCTTCTTCCCGTTGGCTTTACTTGCAGCCGCGGATGCTGCAGTCTTCACCTTTGTACTTGCTCGCCTGCCCCTGGGGGGAGGTTTGGTAGATGTCATCAGGTTGATGGGTTGGAATAAATACAAAGTAGGAGAGGAGCGAAGGGGGGGCTACTTGCGATGGTGGCTACTTATTGCGAAGATGAAGACTGAAGAATGATTGCGTTCAATGAAGACTGAAGTTCAATGAAGACTGAAGAAACCAATGAAGACTGAAGAAACCGATTGAATGAATGAATGAATGAATGAATGAACGAGATTGGAGAGATTGAATGAATGAAGAAACCGGATTGTGACGCAAAGCAAGCAATGCAAAGCAAGCTTTCCGTCCACGATCAGTTGTAGCTAGTTGCCACGATATCAGATCTCATCGGCTGGAGTTGTAGCTAGTTGCCACGATGCTGGAGTTGTAGCTAGTTGCCAAGATACGGTGGTAAGTGGAGTTGTAGCTAGTTGGTAGGTGGAGTTGTAGCTAGTTGCCAAGATACGGTAGATAGTACATGTACAGGTGATAGTACTAGCCAGCTAGCTAGCTATCCTGGCTTCTCGTGATGGCTGGCTATCCATCAGAATATCTGATGGCTGGCTATCCATCAGATCGTGATGGATCTGATGGCTGGCTATCCATCAGATATTCTCGTGCTGGCTGGCTATCACGATTGCTGGAATGGATAGAGCTATCGTGATGATCCATGCCAGCATAGCTATCGTGATGGCAGGCTGTGATATTGTGGTGATGGCGTGATGGCCAGCCGTGGGTAGAAGCAGGCGGTTAACGTGTAGGCGGTTAACGTGTTTTCACGTTGGTGTTGGTGTTTTCTGGTGTTAACGTGGAAGTCTGTTGTTTTGGCGAAAGCTGTTGTTTTGGCGAAAGCAGCATCGGCCTAGCCTAGATGTCTCACTTTGTCTCACTTTGTCTCACTTTGTCTCACTTTGTCTACCAATGTCTCACTTTGTCTACCAAATGTCTCACTTTGTCTCACTTTGTCTCATTTTGTCTCACTTTGTCTCACTTTGTCTACCCAATGTCTCACTTTGTCTCACTTTGTCTACCGAATGCCTGGAGACATTTTGCTATGTCTCCGGTCTTGCAATGTCTAAGAATGTCACCAAAGTGGGGAAGGTCTACTTCGGTCCTTGAGTAATGTTTGACACAGCATCGCCAAAACAAGTTGGCCGGGCCAAACAGGCGGTAGTTGGGAACTTTTGGGACAAAATGCCGAGTAACCCAGACGTACAGACCCAGAGACCCAGAGTGGTACCGGTACAAGTAGCTATCTTTCAGCCGTGCTTTTAGTCAAGGAGAACTAAATCCGAAAACTTCTGTCCCTTTTCGCACCCACATCTTAAAAAGTGCAAGTACCTCTGCGACATTGACCTTTATGTCCACTAGAAGCACGTCCCACGAGCAAGTCAGTCCTACACGTAGTCGCTTGCTATGGGGGACCACCACTTCTGAAGATGTAGATCTCGCTAACTTTTCCTTGGTTTGGGGTTGGAGTCCCCAACCGCAACGGTTCGCACCATTTGCAAGCTACTTTAGTGTATTTTTTTAAAAGTTCGCACACTACACAGTTATAATCCAGCAGATACACTGTGAGGGCAACCACCAATGCTATTTAATACGGGGACAGATTGAACCCACGAAAGCCAATACTCGAGAAGCTCATAATTGTTTCTAACCTCCAGTTTTAAAAACCCTTAGAGCTACCACTGACTTCAATACGATACCACATCCTCAGCAGTCCACTTTTCATTGTGTGCATAACTCCCTGTTTGAAGCAGCTTTTGAAGCTCAGGATGATGAGGCGATGCTAAATGCTAAAAGCTACCGGTACATGTAGCATGTAGCTACGGTAGCCACACTTCCAAGGTCCGAAAGCGCTTGAGTGCTGGCTACCGTAGTAGCCAGTTGACTACATGTACTAGCACTCGACTCTGACTCGACTCAACTCAGCGAGCTACTCAGCGTCGCGCTGTTTCTTAGATTTGCGGCTGGAGCCCCTGCGGTAGTTGCTCTGCTGGTGGAAACAAGTGAGAAAGCAAAGGCTTCATTAGCTATTAATAGCAAGGTAAGCCGATGTACGAAGTCCTATTCCTCGCAGGCTGGGGAAATAGTTCAGCTCGTTCAGAAACGTGGCAAGCAACATTCATCTCCGACATGGATAGCTTAGCTTGCAAATCTCTACTGGTACCGTACTGTCATAGAGAAGCTACTGGGGCTATCCACGGTTTTTGTGATCCAATCAATTTATCTTTCTCATTTCCCAGGCTGCTGGATTCTTCGAATAGTGATAGGCCTGCTGCTGTACCGGTACCCGTACCGGTACGTACTCTTTGTTTAGTCACGGATACTTTTGGTCGTGGATGAAATGCGATGCGACGCGATGCCACAGGCGGCGAAGACCAATGACGATTGACGTGGATTTGGGTTCAAGATACGTGGGTGCTGGACGGCTCCGACTATGGCCCTTCAGGTTTGCTTCGTTGTCGTTGAAGATGACAGCCAGGGTGATTGCATACTTTACTGTTGCTGTTGATAAGAACACGAAAGCGCCTCAGATATGCAGTGCCATCGAAACAATGTTTTCCTTGGTTCCACCATCCCCGTTGATTCTGTTACCGATACCCGTATCGGTCCTTCGGCGGGATTAGTTTCAATTACGTCTTCCGGCTCGAACGCAGCATCAGGACAAGCTTCTGCCTTGGAAGATCTGAGTGTGGCTGGTCTTTCTTATTCTGATAGTGCTGCCATTGGTACCGGTACTTTCGATGCAAGAGAAAATAAGGCTGCATCCAGGAATCATCGGAACAAGCGCAATTTTCGCGACAAGAAACGACGACGTAAAATGGGAAACAAGATCATCCCCGGTCGGACATTTGATTGGGATTGGCAACGGCGACACAAAGAGTTGCTACGTGCAGAAACAATCAAGTTGGAGGAGGAGGAAGATCAAGTGCAACAACATATTCAGCCGTCCACAAAAAATCCTCCCAGGATTTTGACCATTGATGAGATGAGGGCAGAGAATTGGCGGCTTACAGTGGATCAGGACGAGGGGCAAACTGCAAAAGGTGATGACCATCAAAATGCGTTGGGGGGCAAAGAATCTTCTGTCCCGTATTGCCATGTTTACAAATACTCCAGCCAGCTATCGTCGCAGCAGACTCGGATGGCATGTCACGTCGGTTCTCAGTTCGCCAAACGGGTCCTGGAAGGAAACCAACACGACGAAGATCAACAGCCACCAAAGAAATTGCAACGAATGGACCAGGACACTGCCAGAATCCAAAACTTCAAGGCTGCAAGAATCCGAAACCTCCAGGTAGGCAGGCAACCGAAACTTTTATCATTCTGGCTGTTGCCTCTGGTCTTCACTCGCTCACTTGAGTCAACCGATTCCTTTCTTCTGGGGTTCCTGTACGGTATGTAGACAGCCACACTCCCAGAGCCTTCAGAATGCATGAAAACATGGTGTCAAGCATTCTGTGATCTCTACAGACCAGTGTTTAGCGGCAACTGCGAACGAAAGCTGCCTGCTGTGCTCCAAGATGGTTGTCGTTATCAGGTCTTATCTGCAATCCAAGATTTGAAAGTGTACGACACCACAGAAGGCCTTCACATACCCAACACGCTGACTCTTATTCCACGACAATCTGCAATAGACAACGCACCTTCTCCACAACTTGGATTGCTGGCTGAATACGAGGCTTTCGCCCATTTGGAAAAGACTGCAAACGAAAGCAGGGTTGCTAAAACAGCGGTTACGAGAAGTTCCAAGCGACACGTATTCAAAGAAGGGGGTGTTGATGACACTGCCACTAAGTACCTCAACATTGGAGTGAAAACAAATCATAAAAAAGGTGGAGGGCTTTTTCAGCGGATAAAGGGTCTCGACAATAACCAGAGACACCACCAAACCATTGGAGGATTCGTTCGCAGCATAGAACGACAAACTTGCCAATGGCTCCTAGAACACGACCTGGCCTTCCTAGCAGGTGTCAAGACAGAGACCAACTTCCCAGGATTTGACTGTGGAGATGGACAGCAATCCCAAATATTTCCAGCCATTGCCTTTGGCAGGAACGTCTTTTTGAATGTGCATACGGATCAAGATTTCTTTTGGTCCGCCACGACTGTGATTCAGAAAGACATGCCATTGAAGGTGCACAATTCTCCAATCTGCAACTACTTTTGCTTTCCGACTCTGGGCATTAGTGTGGCCCTCCGGCATGGCGATATCCTTCTGTTCAATCCACTCGTACCACACTGCATTTCGTCTCGTTGCGACGTCACCAAGGACGAGTTCTGTATTTCCTTGTACTTGAAGACTGCGGTTGTAGGTGGCAATAATAATAATCCTCGCCGACAACAACACAACGATGACGATACCGGTACGGGAAGAGCCAGCTGCGAATCCAGTTCGCCGGCGTCCTCGTGCTCCCCACCGGTAGGATAGAAGCAAAACGCACGGTCACTCCAGGGCACCGTACTGCAACTAACTACGGTGAACCTCAAGTTCTTGGTCTACTAGATGGAAGTGAGGACTTTGGTGGCAAGTCCAGCTGTTCGTCTAGAGCATTGATCGGTGCGGGTGGTGACGAATGGATGCAAGAACTCTTGTGGCTTGCTTGGTGCGGGACAAAACTGTCATGGCCTGTGATCAATCAAGGCCGGTACCCCACTTTTGCACCAGTGTCTGAGTGCTGCGAAGGCATCTCTCACCAAGCAAGGATCCACTTTTTTGTTTTGTTGAAGCAACGTACCGACCTGTAGTTGTCACGGTCATTGCTGGTTCGCCGATTCACTGATGCCGAGTTACGACTTGGCCGAGACGAGTCTGCTGAGTCGAGTCTGCTGAGTCGAGTCTGTTTCGTTTCAAGGTGCGTTGGTTGCGTTGCTTCACGGTGCCACGGCAACCCCTTTGCTGCTACGGTCCCCGACACCGCACGAGTAAGGTCAATTTCTCGAACGGTGGTCAAACGAACGGACGCACGAAAGTTGAGGTTCGCGTGGATTCTCACGTGCAGGTAGGTTTCCTTGATGATGATGATCCGTGGCAACCTCTTTACATGTAGTTAGACATCTATTAATGAATAATTAATAGTTTGCGGCATGCAGTAGATGAACCGTCCTAGTCTAATACATGTACATGTAGTAGCTATGGAATGGAACGAATGAGTGACAGTCTATAAAGAAAGTGCAATGCATCACCGTCATTTTTGGTGATTAGGAGAGATCCGGTAGTAGATGAATGGATGAATGGATCGATGCATAGATGTGCTGCTGCTATCAGCCATCTATGGAGTGGTTCGGAAGAGCAATCCAATTACGATACACACGACGAGCAGTAGCCCTAGTATGGCAGCTCCATGCATGTAGAGGTTTGCTCTTTCTCTGTGCTTGAGTGACTGAAGGATGGCTTCATCTTCTCCTGTTCCTTCTTGGGAGTCATTATTAAAGGTATCCTCTCCTTGCTGCTGCAGTTCCAGGTCATGTTCGGTTGGCTTGTCGTGCTGCTTGGACCGGTTGGCATCCTCCCCCGTGCTGATTCCCAAGAGCGAGAATCGAACCTTTTCCAGTATGCTGCTGCTGTTGCTCCTGCTGTTGTGGTCCAGACCAAAGTAGATAGTAGTGGTTTTGCAGCAAGTGCTCGCGGTGACGCGGGGTATTGTGTCTGCTGACAGGGTGGAAGTAGGAGGATGTAATAGGTGGTCCTGATGCTGATGAGTTGTGCTGTTTGTAGAGGCAGTACTATTGGTACCAGCATTGGTGCTACTAGTGGGCTCATCAGTGGGGGTGATATTGCCATTCAGATCCTGCAAGGGTAGCATACGCTTGGCAGTAGCACTCATGCTGCTGCTAGCACTACTGGCACTAGCACTAGCACTAGCACCGACAGCAAGCTTCTGGGAGGAGTGGCAGTCCACCGCACTGTTGGTAGTGATGGTCGTGGTTGCATACATACCTCCCCCCTTCAAGCTAGCGGTAGAGCCCGGGCCTCCCAGTGGGACCACAGCACTACTAGGCAGCAAGCAGGGTTTACTACATGTACTGGTGCTGCGCGCAGTGCTACTGAGGCCAGCTTCCATCAAGCATTGATCCTCTAGTAGAGTTGCTTGCATGTGAATCAAGCTAGAGCTACTCGCAGCACTACCATGGCTACGTGCAGTACCATCGCTACGTGCGGCACCGGTACCGCTATGTGTACTAGTAGTCGCGCTGGCATCGACCTTTTCCAAACAGGATCTCTCCATGGACGTCCCTAGTGCTACACTAGTAGATAGTGCTGCACTATCTACGGGTAGCTGAGCAGAGCCGGAGCTCAGTTCATGAGGTGCGGCGGTTGGCAGGTTCATCTTGACTTCCGAGGGCTGCTGGGGAAAAAGTTGATGACTTCTGAGATGTAAAATAAATTATGGCTGGGATGTGGTTAGAGAAGAAAAGGAGTTCAGACTTGACTCGTCACTCGTTCAGAGAGAAAGTAGCTCTAGTAACAGTCCGTATGACTTTAGTGCTTGCAGAGTGTTTTCAAGCATGCATGCACCGTCATAGTGAGAAATGAGCATGGGCAGCCTGTGGCAGTTTGAAACCAGCAGCCAGCATTGCTGACCACTGCTTGCGCATCCCCCCTAAATACGTCACCACAGAAGACTGATCCCAGATCTTGGGAAATCTGTTCTTCTTCTGAAAGGCCTTCCGGCAAACTTTCTAGCCAGTACTTGCGCACAGCAAAGCCAACTCAAAAGATATCCCCACTGCTGCCGCAAACTTTAACTAGGACCATTCAAGTTATCCGCACTGCAAAGGAAAGGCATTCCACAGCATGGGAAGGTATTCAAAAGGCCAATGGCCATTGCTCGCTGAATGCCAGATGAGGCAACCACATGTTGTTGAAACACCCATAATGAAGCATGGCGCAGCAGGAAGTAATTGACTTGGTGGCAGAAGAAGATCCGCCACCCATGAGGGTGTCCTTTGAGGTACCGGGCAAGCCCATGGCAGAAAAGAGGATGCGCATGGGCAAGTATGGACTGTACCATCCAGGAAGCAAAGAGAAGGAAGCATTTAGACAAGCAGTGCAAGACTTGGTTCCAGCTACAGCCAGTGGAGTGCTTTTCCCAACCAGTGTACCAGTTACCGTGGAGGTTCATTTTTGGATGAGGAGACCGAACACCGACTTCCGTGGCAGCAGGAGATTGATGGGCATTCTCAAGAATTCAGTTGCCTTTGTGAGACCGATTGTTCCTGACATTGACAATCTGCTCAAGTTCGTTTTGGACGGAATGAATCGCTTGGTCTACCATGATGACAGCCAGGTCGTGAAATTGCTGGTGCACAAGCTACTGGATAATGAGGGTTCCTGTGAGGGTAGGACTCAGGTGCAAGTGTATCCTTATGGAATGCCCTAGCGGACTGCTGAAACTGACAAAGTCGGCGCAGCAATAGACGCCGACTTATGGAATGCCCTAGCGGACTGCTGAAACTGACAAAGTCGGCGCAGCAATAGCAGCAACAATTTTACGTACAGCATATGCTATGGGTAGTGGCTCCATGTCACTTGGCTATGATCAGAGGGGATTCAAAATTTACCCTTGGTCGGAACCATTTGCAGCCTTGGTTGCTTTTGCCAATGATCAGATTTTGGAAACTCATCCAGAATGGAATCAAAAGGAGTATCGATTCAACCATGTGAGCTGCAAAATCTACCACAAGTTTGAGAACTCTCAGGGTCAGTGCCAGGCAAAGCGGATCAGGCAGCATCGAGACTTGGAGTTTAGCAACTTTAAGCCTAAAGTAAACAATTCGCAATTACCCGGCTCACCTGTCATTATTGGTACCGTAGGAGACAGGAAATTCCTGGGATTCCGTAAGTACCGATCCATCTGGGGTACAAAGAAAAACAGAAAGGGAGAGAAGGTAGAGGGCTGGGTTGAGCGGGAGATTCCTTCAAGCCGATTCTTTATTGAGCAGAAAAATGGTTCTTGCTTTCTACTGCATCCACATGATGAGTACTACAGGAGTCACCAGAAAACCTTCTGGAAGCATGAATCCTGGATGCAAGATCCAAATAGTGTTTGTATCTCATTTATGCTACGGGTTGTTCAAAAGACAGCTAAATTGAATGAAAAATCAGACAAGCTAGCCACCCCTAGCAATCCTTCCGGTAAGGATTTACTCTTTGATGCAGCTCACCAAAACTTGGACCCAGCAACATTCGAACGTAAGTGGGGTGACATTATCAATCATACTCAGAACCGAATGAAGATTTACAACGTAAAGTTTTAGTTTCATTCAAATTACTACTAAACTACTTAGCTAGATGGAAATGCATCATCAGCATAGCTGTGACCAGCTGGGAGTGGATTCCTTGGCTGTCCATCGTACTCCCTCCATGGAATAGGGTGAAGGGTGCCATATTGTGGTGGTACAGGGGGGATTGCCTGTCCCGCTGGAACAAATCGGTTTGTGTATTCCCATTGCTGTTGTTTCTTTTGTTGTCTCCTGCTGTGATCTTCCATTCTCTTCTTCTCCGCCGCTAGTTCCCGCCGGACTGTACTCTCTCGCATAGATTGTTGGAAGGCTGCTTGTGCAACTGCATTATTGTTGATTGCTGATTGGAAAATGGTATCAAAGGTTCCAACAGGGGGAACACTCTTCTGGCCGCATGCACTTACATCCCTTCCATGACTAGCTTGAGTTGTCCCTGTGCTCCCATGGGTGCATATTGTGGCAACTGAACCAGGGGTTTCAGTCGTTCGTCCGACTTCAACTTCAGTCATAGCAGCTTCGATCTCTCCTTCTTCGAATAAGTCTAACAAAGAATCGAAATCATCTGTAGCTGTTGCCTCTCCTCCCCCATCAAATCTATCCAAACCTGATCGGTCCAGCAAGGAATCGTCATCATCTGTGGCAACATCGTCGAGGCCATCAGTACTGGGATTTGTAGTTGTCGATTTATTGTTCGTGGTGACTGCCAGAGAAGAAGAATTGCTGGTTGCAGTTGTTCTTTTGTTGTTCAACTTGTTATTTCGTTTGCTTTTGGGTCTGCCCCTTGGCTTCTTACCCAGCTTCTCCAGTTCCGCCTTGAATGCTTTGTTGACTTGCTTGATTGGTGGCTTGCCAGTCTTTGGGCTGATTGGGATGGCATCATAAGTTAATGTGCACACTGCCAGAGCCTGATCTTCAGTCATTCCGTCTGCAAGATGATGCTCCATTAATCGGAACATACCACTGCGTTGGGTAAACCATTGAGATCTCGACCGGCACTTCTTGTTGTTGGGACCCACAAAATCCTGCCGCCACTCTGACCCACACTCATTCTCTAACTGGCGAAAGTTTGTTTGATGGGCATAGTAGTTCCAGTGGTCTCGAAAAGATTTGCAATGATTGTCGTCAAAGAGTACCAGCTGGGATTTGCTGTTCCTAGAAGATGAATCACCAGCTGCACATTGCTTGAGATGCTGGGAAATAGACTCGTGTTGTCTTATTGGTGGACGCCGTTTCCTGGCGGTGATTCCGTCGGCAAGAGTACTGCTGGGTGAATCACTGGGATTGCTTCTCTTGTTGATAGTGGCAGCCGGTGATGGTGTGACGGGATTGGTACCGGTTGCATCCACAGAAGTGGCACCACAACCATGATAGCTGGTAGATTGCTGAAATTGCCGCATCTCAGCTAAAGTAGCCTGATGCTGCTGTTGCATATGCATGAGTGGACGACTGATATGCTTAATCAACATTCGTTCCATTCTCGATTCATTCTGTTGTGGAGTACCATTGAATACCATGTCTATGTTTTCATGTTCTCTCATGCGGTTTAGAATCGACTGTTGCAGCTGGTAGAATGATGGCAGCTTAAAGGCGGCATGATTGAATAGCACAGCAAATCTGTCCGGCGATTCGCTGTGGGCATTACTTATCCTATCTCAATCTTATAGCTCAATCTTTTTGTCTTCATTTGTTTATTATGGCTAGTAATATTCCAGCTTAATTGTTTGTTTATGTTAATTTTTTAATTAAGCTGAAAATGCAAAGAGTATTTTCTATTTTTCATATCAATCCCTGTGGGATGTAATTGTATAGGACCCCCGGTGTCAACACTTTAGACCTAAAACCTCCCTTGGTTCCTTGCATGATCAATTTACATGCGAACCGGACTAGATGATTAATACACGAGTCAATAGTAAAGAGGTGTCAGGTATGTTTCCTCCAACAACTGGTGGGCCGGTTGTCCATTTCCAACAGTGCAAAGCACAACAGTCGTTACAATTGCCACAAGCAACCAGAACACTCAGAGCTCCTCCTCTGTTGGCTTTTTGGGACATGAGCTGCCAAATCGCGCCACCTTCCAGGATTTCTGGCATTTGAGTGGGCCAACAGAGGTGGTATCAAATTGGACACAACCTGTGGTTTCCTCTGCCAAAGGAAGGCCCTTTCCAAAGACGGCTGCTCGATAGGTATGCACGACATCTCCCGCCCCAGCTGTCATGGGTTCGAAGTTTTTCATGCTTCCCATGCCGGCGTAATGAATGTAGCTGCCATGTTCACCTCCACAAGGGGCATCTGGATCCCACACCACAATGGGGTCTGCTTCTGACCCTGAAACCAATGCAGGGAGTCCATTTCCTGGTGACTTGAAGCATTCGGTATTGTCCCCCTCGATCGCTACTCCATTGATAATAATGTCATAGGTACATTCCGTTTTGCGGGCATGAGCACCTAGAGGCCCGAATCCCAGGAATGTGGTCAAAAGAAGAAGAAATCCAAAAAGTGACTCTATCATTGTTATCTCAATTGAAGCAGTCCTCTTAAAAGAATGATGCAACCATGTGCTGCTGTGGATGGTTTGAATCAAATACCGGCAGGCTCAAGAGAAACAGCTTCACAGAATAAAAAGGATGGAAGAAGCGCCAAGGGAAAGAGTGCTAGAGCCTAGCTAGTTTGCCACTTGGTTGGGTGCAAAATGGAAGTTGTTTGTTTGGCGTAATGAGGGTTGCAGAGAGGATTAATGTGTAACTTTGGAAATCTGGAAGGCGGATCCCCCTTGAGGCACGGCTGACCAATCCCTAACTCTGGTAAGCTGTCTCAGTGTCTGTGTTTCAGTCCGGTCCCTTTTCCTTTTGTGAGATTGATCATCGATTATTCAGATTCATTCGAATTGATAACGAACGAACAACGATACGATACGATTCGATTCGATTCTCGGTTTCACCCTTAAACCATCGACATCCTTGCGAGAGAGCAACTGCAATTTGCTGGTGCGAAGAGCTGTTGATCATGGTTGCGGCTCTCAAGTTTCTCTGGGTGGAGTGAAATAGCAGGATGCTGGCATTTCTAGCATCTACTCGTGATGATTCTTCGTACCGTACTATCGGAGAGGTGCCACTCGTAATTGATCATCACAACTGAGGGCAACTGCAATACACGGCTCTAGCCTTATTCGCGACTCGATCCTAGATAGGGTTTGAGTTCGATCCATGACTGAGTCTCTCGCGAAATAGTCATTGAACAGGGTTTCCATGACTGCTATCAACAGGTGTCGATGAAAATCGCTCTAGATATTTAGCTGGTGTGGAGAGATTCAACGCTACTAGACAGCCACTAGCTGAAGTTTCCACACATTCCGGAATTGACCGGGAGAACGAGAGTATCCATAACCTCGATATCACACTCGAGGCCCCCACGGGAAACCAACTCAATGAGCTCACAACCGAACTCTCCATGGATTAGTTCGAGCTTTCTAACTCTCTCATAACTTTCATCTCTCAAACTCCAAAAACTCGAAAGATCTTTACACAGCTTAGCGTAGTGCATTTTGTAACAAACACAATAGCTTACAGCTACCCTCAACCTATTCTTCACCATGAAGATTGCTCAAAGAAAGCATGCGTTCACCAACGGCGAGAAACTTGCGTGACAACATCTTCCTCTCTTCGACAATGACAAAGACGCCGAGAATCGACGATTCTCGTGCAACCACCTACAAACTTCGCACCGTTCCTGCAGATTCAAACAGTGCCAAATATAACTTCAAGGTAGCCATCATAAATGGCTCCAACACTCCACATGAGACCATCAAGTGGGCTACGAAAATGGAGAAGGTCCTCGTTGGACTCAACCTTGCAAATGCCGACGACAAACATAGCCTTCTCAAGGAGATGACATCCAGCTCTGCGAAGAGTGCCTACGAAGCTGGTTGTGCAGGCCATCGTTCCGTGCGTCATAACGCCCCACGACAAATTGCTGTGAACTCAGTTCCTCCACGCGATGTGACCTCTGGAGAAACCGAAGCAGCCTTCCAGGCTCGTGTCCAAGCCGCATGGAACGGTGCAGCGGAACCCGATCTAAGCGATGATGACATCAACTTTGGAATCAACACGGTTATCGAAGCAGCATGTCCTTACAAGGATCTCGAAAAAAAGAAACGCCTCATGCGTCGCAAGATGCGTAAACCTAGCGAGGAGATGACACCTCGCGCCTACATCAACAACCTCACTCGGAGGAACACCGATGAGCTTCCAAGTTTGCCACCTTTCGGTGACAATCAACAGTTGAATCAGGACGAATTCATTGACATTATCTGTTATGGCATTCCTCGTTCCTGGATGCGCAAGATGGACGAACAAGACTTCGATCCTTTCACTGCCGAGATGAAGGCAGCCCGGCTCCATTGGATCGTGAGCGCATGGAACCGCTGAAGACTTGACAAAGCGTGATGCCAAGCAAGCTTCTTCGAAGAAGAACAACAGCAAGAAGTACAGGTCTACTCGCAACAAAAGACCATTCTACCAAGAGCGAAGAAAATGGTGTGAATACCACGAGTCCAGCAATCACAATACTGCTGATTGCATGACTCTGAAGACACTCAAAGCCAAGTACTCGTCTGACAACGATAACAAGGCCAGCGTACAACAGACAAACTGGAAAGCAATCGACGTGCCAGCCTACACCAAGAAGGAACCTGTCTAGACGAAAGTTCCTCCAAACGCGGTCAAGGGGATCGCAAGAAAGAAAAAGCGAATCAACATGTGCATCGCAGTCAACGACTCTGACAACGAAGATGACTCCTCTGTCGGGTCCCTCAACAAGATGGACAAGAAAATGGCTGCAGCCGACAAGGCTCTTGCCGACTTCGACATCCATCAGATGAGAGATCTCCGTCTGAGTATTAGGCCAGGATAATGATTCAACGGAACCATGTTCGGATTTCTCATACCTAAATGATGAAGATATCTCACTAACTATAACAGAATTGTTTGCAAACGAATGAGTCACGCAAATAGAATAATTGCCAAAGGCTCCAACTAGATTCTGAACGATCATCCCAGCATTGTTAAACCGTCCATGGCCTATCAACTCATCAACGTCGATCGACAAGAGACCTTGAAAACATCGTCTATGTTAGATTTAACAGACGCGAAAAAGGGAAAACAAAAACCGTTACACTCCGTTGCTACTGGATACAGAAGCATCCGTAACCTTTATTACCCAAATTCATGCTAAGAGAATAAGCATGAAGGATCAAGGGGGCGTCCAAACACTATCGACTACCCCTGTAAAGGAATTAAATCCCAGCACGAAGTGTAAGGGTGCACTAATGACTCCTGAGTTCCACAATAATAGAATTATAGAATGGAACTTGCACGCCAACAAGAACTTGGGGGCTTATGACATGATTATAGGTCGAGATATTTTCTCTGATTTAGGTTTCAAGGTCGATTTCACTAACATGTCAGTGAAGTGGAACAGGCACATCTTTCCCCATGAAAGATAGAATACCAAGCAGCAAGGAACCTTTCATCAACTGATCCTACAGCGGTACAGCGCAGGCAATCTCTCAAAGGACTCTGATGCGAAATACAACTACCGGACTAAGGCAGTTATGCCAGAGTCAAAACCAAGTAAAAAGGAAGAGCAGGAACCGCTTCATGCCTTATGACCAAGTGCTCCGACCAATTCGAAAGTACTTTAGGAAAGCAACAAATGGACGACTACGAAGTAGAACTTATCCCTGATGCTAAACCTTATCACGCTAGGGCTTATTCTATTCCACGTGTCAATACAAACACTCTTAAGACGGAGGTCGAACATCTCTGCGAACGCAGGAGCACTTAAGAAGGCAAACCGTTCCGAGTGACGGCACCAACATTACATTCCCCAAAAGAATGGATCTATACGGATCATCTCGACGTCCTGGAACTGAACACAAGGATTGAGCAAAAACCTTGTCCGATCCCAAGGCTACAAGACATGCTCCTGAATCTAGACGGATTCAGGAAATACGAGTACCAGCGAGTACTGATGGGCCTAGGCAATAGTCCCGACATCTTCCAAAGAAATGGGAAAACACTCATGCCGACGGGAAAATGTCCGGCAACATGATGACAACTCATCACTAACAACGGCGACTAGTGGATAGTTGAATAGTAGAGAAGTCTCCTAAAGGCTCGAAAGCCGGACTTAGATCAATGCTACCAAGTCCTTCCTCGAAAGAAGAGAACTTGATTATCTAGGCTACTGGATTACCTGAGAAGGAATCCAACCCGTAACCAAGAAAATTGATGCGATCCAGAATATCGCTCCTCCTACGAACAAGAAGAAACTTGGTAGATTCATTGGACTAGTGAACTACTATCGAGACATGTGGATCAGACGACCACATGTACATACAACACAGGGATCCCAAGAAAAGCAATCCCTGTCCATTTCATTGCTTGACATGATTGATCCCGTAACCGAAGGGATCGAGATGCCGAGATCTGCTCCAATGCAGCAGACGAATTAGCCATCGTCCTAGAACAGACGTGGCTCACCCATTATCCATGGCCTGCTGAGGTTATAATGGATAGAGAACGTGAGTTCCGCGCAGAAGTTGAGAAGACTCTCCGGGATGAATATGTACTTCGTCGCAATTTCATTACCACACGTGTTCAATCGGGACGCAATTCACAACGTCCGATTCAAAGTAAACTGGAAACAAAACAAAGAACGTCGCCAACGACTCATCAAGAAAAACAATGATAAGGAAAAACAGCGACGGCGTTCCCGAATCCAAAACAATGTCAAACGATACCGTGAGGTTTCAACAGCATCAGCACCGCAAGTATGTTCAGCCAAAGTACAAAAGTCCTTACAATACAGACCGAGTCATTGACAATGGCACTGTACGCTCCGACATGCTACCGCAAATGGCGGCACAGTTCACCAGACTTGGAACATAAGTAATT